GGAGGACATATTTTGTTGCAAATGAGTGGAACGAAATTCAAACTCATCGCAAATTGAATTCTTTTTTTGTTTTGATGTTGTCGCTGCTGTTTCTGGAGATTATTGGTTTGGGTAACTTAGCCGAGAGGAATCCAAGTATAAATGTGACCACACCCACTGAGCGATACACTGCTCCTCATAGCTCAGTACTAAGGATTGGACTGGCCGTTATTGTCTACTTGTTGATAGCTGGGATATCAGTAAGAGAGGGAAAGAGAGAATATTAATGCATGACACATGTACATGTATACATGTATGTATCATTAATGACAATGGGGAATTCTCTTCTAGTCATTTTATGATGAAATACCATACTGTACTATAGGGTCTTTGGCCAAATTTTGCTAAAAATAAAAATCAGATAATTCTCTAATTTTATAATTTTTCCTGATACATATACTAGTCCTTATGTTGTGTAGAAAGTTTGAGTTTATTTCAATCAAAATTGATTTTTTACAAATTTTCAAAGTTGTTCAAAAAATGTGCCAAAATCCCTGTACTATAGTACAGGGTCACTTGTCAAATTTTGCCAAAATTGAAAAAGAGGGGATTTTTTATTTTTATAATTTTTTCTGTTACATATACATGTTCTTATGTTAAGTAGAAAGTTTGAGCTGATTTTGATCACGTTTGCATTTTTAATGAATTTTTTAAGTTGCTCAAAAACTGGCCAAAATCCCTATACTATTAATAATGCGGTAGCGTTGCTAATTAGGATTCACCCCACTTCAAAATGGCTGCCACAACTTTTGCAGCCTTGCTATACCGGGAAAACGAGCTCCTATGCTTACCAGACTTCTTAGAAGACCTTATCTTGACCAGAGGACTCCATTGGTACCACTAGCGTGTCTCTAAACCTTGTCTAAGAGGAAAGTCTGACTGACTTCCCATGCATGCGCATAATGTGTGGGTGGGACCAACTGTCCAACCATGTCATTCCAAAGAAGTTGTGGGGGGGGGTGGGCTGTCCACTCACAGGCTCAGCGAGGGTGGCCTCTGCTAATTATCCTAGTTTAAAACAGCAAAGCTCTAAACGACATGAAAATTGCGCAATTTTTAAAAACTTAGCTATGCTTGGAATCAACTGCAGTACTTAGTGGGAGGTTTTAGCTAAAAGAAGGTATCAATATTGCATATTATTGTGTGTGATTTATAAATTATAGTTCAAAAAACAAACAATTAATTAATGCAATGAAATGAATTGAATAGTATGAATTTTAGAACAGGAATGCAGGGTTGCATAGATATTCTCACTGCTTTTTTGAACAAGGACTCTTGACGAATTAGCACAAAGCAAATCCTGCTCAATCTTTTTTTTTAAAAATAGTACAAGAAATTTGGCCAAATTTTGCTGAAAATGAAAAGGAGAAAATTCTTCAATTTTATAATTTTTCTGATGCAATACGTACTTATATGTATGTTGTATAGAAAGTTTGAGCTGATCCCGATCAAATTTGAATTTTTATGAATTTTTAAGGTTACTCCAAGATCACGTAAAAGTTATATGACAATATAAAAAGACAACAACACACACACACATATATATACATAGTTTAGAGGAGGAGGATAGTCTCTAATGTAATATGATGCATTAGTTGCATCATAAAACAAGTTAACGTCGCCTGACAGCTTCATAAGCAAGGTTAACCTCTGTTGCTGGATCTGAAGCAATTGGGACAATTACATCTATCATTAGAAAGAAAAACAAGCTAATGGCTAATAGAATATTAACGTACCATAATGATTAGTAGGCTGCTGCTCCTGCTGCTGCTTTTGCTTTTGCTTTTTAACGAAAATCACAACAATAACCAATACCAGTATAACAATCATTGCCATGCAAACTGCAACTATCAATGATAGCACTGTAATAATTGCAATGATAGAAGCTGACAGACTTTGAGGATCTATATCAATGATAAGTCACAATCACTTAATTACTATACTAACTATTAGTAGCACAGTAGCAAGTGTATTGGTCTGGTTGAGTTCCTAGTGAGCAGTCAGCAGTGCCACAAGGATTTGATGCCTCACAAATGTTAGTCAAAGCACAACTAGTGCAGTTAGCTGATGAAGTATATCCACTGTTACAGGGCAATAAACAAACTATCTAAATATAAACTTTCAGTGTTTAGTTACTCTTCCTTACCACACGAACAATTATCAACCCCAGTACTATAACCTGATAAACAGGTTTGACAGCATCCAGCAACATCACATCTCTCACAACCAGACTGTGTGCATGGAGCAGCTAAAAAAGAATAACCCATAATGCAATAAATGATTATTCTATACCACATTGACAGCCATTAACTAGATCATATCCTAATCCACATTCAGTACAACAACTTGAATTCAGCAAGTGGCATCTTGAACAATTTGATACTGTACAAGGACCTACAGTGAACATAATGAATTTATATCTGTGCTGCTTTCTCAACCTTACCACATGTACATCCATCAGGATTTAAATAGGAACCAGATGAACAGGTTTTACAACAAGATGAGTTTTGACAACTGTCACAGTATCTAACAGTACATATTGGTGAGGGAGAGGGTGAGGGAGGTGAACTAGCGCCAAATAAGGGAGAGGGTAAGGGAGCAGGAGGTGAAGATAGAACAAGTGAAGGAGAAGGAGATGGCGAAAGAATCAAGTCTATAATTGAGAAAAAGTAAAAATAATAATTATGCTAAGAGATTGGAAGGCGTGTTCAATGCTAAATCAGTCGTACAGATAGGCAGATATAACTACTCACCAGTACAGTTCAATTCTTCCTCATATCCAGTACCAGTACAATTACAAGTATAATTATCAGGAGGTGAATACTGTATACATTGTCCTCCATTCATACATGGAGTGTCTTTATCACAGATACTAGTGAAATCACAGCCAGTACAATCAGAATTAACAGTATAACCAGCAGAACAGGTTAGATTACAAGCTAATAATCAAGTATAATGAATAATAGTAATACGATTGTAAATTACACTTACTGCAAGTGAAGTTATTACTCTCAGTAGCAACATAGTTAGGACCTGATGATGATGTACAGTTAGTGGTGGGATTACACTGACCATTAGCAGCAAATGATAAACAACAATCAGTAGAACCTGATCCAGTACACCTCATCAGTCCAGAATTACAAACATTGCTACACTCTATTTTATATACATAAGATTAATAATAATTATAGTAAATAGTAATAATAATAATAATTATTATTATTACAATTTGCTTACCTCTACATCTAGTATCACCACCAAAACCTTCCCTACACCTATAACAATCAGTTCTTGGAGGAGCATCAATAGCACTGGGAGGAGGAGGATCTAAACTACCAGTCCTTCCACTCCATGTACCACTGCCACACTCCATATCAAGTATCCTACTGGTTTCAGGCTCTCCTGGGTTAGGAGTGAATCTAGCTATAAGAGAAACTCCATTATAAGTATCAATCATGCTCCCTTGAACTAGACAGACATATTGAACTGATCCTGTTACATTAGGAGAGTATGACTGAGGACCATCAGATTCAACTAGTAAAGGAGGCAATACAGTTTCTATGTCAGGATTAGTTGGTAGAGGACAATCCTGAGCAACTGATAGTGACAGAACACATAAAGCAAAGACTAGCACTGCTTCTCTCATCATTACTAACAAACTACTTTCCTTGCAACTGAATGAATTTATGACATCATCAATAATGCTAGGAAATCATATCTATTTGGGAAAGCAACCTGGTTACCAAACAATTATTACTCTGATGTAAACTTATAGTTAGATCTATGTTCAAACATGTAATATCTATGGGTCCAACTTGCTAAGAATATTTTATTAGGCTGAAAGTTGGTTGAGACCTTCAACATAATTAGCAACAATCTTGCAACAATTTTTAAACAGCAAATACAAGTGCACTCACTAACTGCGAATATAGAATAATAATAATAAGTAAAATAATATTGATAACAATAATTAGTTGATGATATGTATAAATGATGACGATAATAGTTAGTCTAGATAATAGTAGATGTAATAGTGTCTACAGGTAAATAAAAAGTAGAAAAAAAAATAATGATAATAACTGCATTTTACAATAGTAGCAATTTCTAGAATAAAGAATGTAAAACAAACGAATCAAAATTTTTTATGTCTTAAATATCATCATCAATAGAAAATCCACTGTCTTCAAGGATTATCTCGTTTTCATGTATTAAATTTTCAGCAAAATCTTTTCCTTTATTTCCTTTCCCTTTAATCGAAACTAGACTTTCTGGTGCATTTTTGGCCTGTGGGGATATAACTTGAGTTTTTGAAGGTTTATTTTTAACTACTGTGGATGCCGTTCCATCCCTCACTGTCCAAGGACAGAGAAGTGATTTCCAAGCATCTCTCGAGTCACTGCTTAGAACAACGAAAAAGAAGAAAATAAAGAAACCTTGAAATGCGTTGAAGAAAGCAAAGAAGAACTGAATGATGAATGAGATGTTAGGCTCAGTAATGAACGTGAAGACAGCAAACAGCCACGTGAGACCAAGGAGTATCAAGATACCAGAATAAGATATCAACATTTTGATTGCTTCAGATGTGGTAAGTCGAGATTTATTCATTCTCTTGTTCTTATCAATAGTGTGGAGAATAACCACACGAATAACAAGGACGTATATAATAACATTGAAGATCAGTATGATGAAAACTGGAAGCAGAAAAGCAACAAGAAAGGGTATCATTTCACTAATGAAACAACTAGAAAAAACAACATAACTATGTTATAGTATAATACACATTTGTCACTTACAATCCAGACTGGTTTCCATTTTCATACAAATAAATGTAAAAGTCACGGTCAATTGCTAATGTGATTACAACTGGCAAGAGTGGCAAAG